TTTTCGAAATGTTATACGGTATAAAATTATCATTAATGGCAATTTAGTACAAAATGATTACTAAAAATTCTGATAGGTCCGATTTGATTCTGCTGATTTAGAGCTTCTTAATGCAGCTTCTTAACGCAGAGACGTGCAAAAAGTTGGATGCTCACATATAAAAATAATTTTACATTAGACATGCGCACATATGTATAATAATTTTTATCTAGAGATCAACTATAAAAAAGATATATGTATAACTATAAAAAAGACCAGAAAGAAATCGTATGCTAAGATGAGTTGTTGTTAAGTTAACACGGTATAAAATTATTAATGGCAATTTAGTACAAAATGAGTATTAATAAATCTAATTTTCTGACAGGATTAATTCAAAATAAAAGAAAAATAGAAAAATAATATCAATCAATATGATTGAATTTGTAAATACTATTTTGTATTGCCGAAAACAATTCTATATTATGTATCATTTCCAAGGAAGTGGCACTGATAGTTTAATATTTAAGCTGGCAAGACTATAAAAAAAACACAGGGCAAAAATTAACGCAACTGAAATTTGTACTAATTTGTACGTACCATTGAAAGTCAGTTAATATTTTACATTTTTCTCCTTAAATGACTCTCTTTATTAGTATGTAACTTTATTATATATAGTACTTACAATCTATGAGACATTCCACGTCAAACCGGACATCTTTGAAACATTGTCATTTTATTTTTTTTTGCTAACATATTCTACAAATAAAAATATGAGACGTATTTTGTGAAAAAAAATGTAATATGCATGCTTTTTTTGTGTATTAACGCATATAATCATTTTTTATTTATTTTTATCAATAGTTTTCATCATCAATTCACTAATTAAAAAATTTTATAAAAATATCATCATATTCCCATTTCAATTATGAAGCCTGAAAAATGAAACTTGAATGGACTGTATAGTTAAAAAATTCGAATAAAAATTGTAAACAAATAGAAAATGATTTATTTATAAAAAAATGATAAATTAAAAATTACTCATAGAACAATTTACGATCTATAAAATTGATCTCTTGCATTTTTTGCACGCACGCACATAAATATTGTATCTGTATGCACGAACACTAATCTGCACTGAAAACAATTGAAATGTGGCAACAGCATGCCCTGTCTCACAAATTACAAATGTAAACTATTCTAATTCAGAAACGGCACCGTTAGGTCTCTCCTTTTTTTTTTTTTTTTTTTTTTTTTAGGTTTCTATAATATTTCTACATTATATATTTATTTATTTTTTTAAATCTGTAGAAGATTTTCGCCGCAAAATATTAAAACATTACTTTGGCAAGGCTTGATATAGGAGTTTACATGTTGAAAGCTGAAACTTTGAAAATGAATATCTCCATTTCGGTACCGCTAAGGTCTTCGAAATTTTAGATATGTATAGATAAAATTATTTTAAATATAATATTCAAATTTCAAAAAAAATCTGTAGAAACTCAATTTCTCAGAGAAATAAGTTTTTTTTTTATCGAAAATTGTTCATTAACATTGACACATGTATCATTATTTTGTATTTTATTGTTGCACAATTGTCTGGCGACTAATATGCCACAAAAATACGACACAAAAATGCGATGTTTTGTGTAAGAAATTTTTCTATTTATTTTTTACAGCAGTCTGCTTTATCTTTCATAATTTCAGAGAAACTGCGGTTACATGAACATTTTCACATGTATATAATGCATATCTTAGAATTATCAGTTGCCCCTCTAATCTAATGTCAGAAAAAATCAAACTTAAATTAAGCATAAACGATACTATACGATTAATTTGAAAGGTTGCCCGCTGTGAACATACAGTTATTATATTTGCGTATATCAGCATTATCATTCACATTTCCGTCACGAAGTATTTCAACATTAGAAGCATTAAAAACAGGAAATATTAGTCATTCTGCATCTCATTCTAGCATATTTTTCTCTTCTTTAAATGAAAATTTTTTTATTACATAACTTAGAATTAGAACAAAATGAAGATCATTATGTCGGACTATCTTTCTTCCGAAACATATGTTCAACTATTACTTACTGTATTTTATGTTCCTTTTTTTCTTTCTTTTCGTAATATCTGAAAAAATCAATTTCATTGATACAGAGGCTGAATTTGTACTACAATTAAATTGAGTTCAAATTTCAATACTTTTATGTGCGTGTGTAGTTATTGTTGTATACAAAATATCTAGGATTTTGGAAGTCTGATTCTATCCGCGGGTATTACTTTGGATAGAAAATGCAAAATTTACAAAGAATATCTTTGTAAACAAAAAATAAGTAAAACAAAATTATTATTAATAAATTATAATAACATATAATAATAAAATCAATTATACCTTTAGCACTTATGGAAAAAAGTGGATTTGCGTGATTCTTTGCAGTTCTTACGATACAAAATAAATATCCATTCAAAATTCAAACTAAAATTACGAAAAGTTATAACATTTATGAATTAATTATCTTTATTTAATTTTTCGTTTGAACAACTTTCTCGATGATAATCACTGCATTTTCTTTCAGTTGAGTGTTTCTCGCATAACTCTAGACTTACTACGCCATTGTCAGGATCGTACGAGCCTAATCGACAGTAACTCTTGGCAATCTTTCGCCTCTGAACTGTTGAAGTACAGTCTGTAACAACATTGCTGCGCATAGTGCATACGCCGAGAATTGTGTGCTATTGCAGACAAAAAAGAAAAATAAATTATTTATAAATGAAGCGCTGTACTACATTAAAAAAATATGTTTAAAGGGCACAGCTGTGTCACTAACTAGAGCTTTCCGCAAGTAGAAGTTTATTACGTAAAATGTATCGCTTCATAATTAAAGTTGTCATATCGATTAAAAATACATAATTGTGATTTTTCTATATTTGTTCGTTTATTATGAATGAATCAATTGCACATAGAATTTTTATATGTAATTAAATGAGTTTAACGATCCTTCTTTTTTCATTTTATAATTATCTATATGTCAAGTAAACCAGTATATGTATAAACACATATGTATTCACAGTATATGTATAAACAATTATATGGTATCAATCTCAATATTTCGCAACTTTGAAAAAGTTCTTAAGTATATATATATGTATGTTGATAGCTTATCTTTATGCTTTAACGTCAGCATTTTAATAAATATTTAAAGATACTAAAAATTTCATTATTTATTTGCTCGAAGAGAAAACAAAATTATTAAATTATTATTAAAAAATATTAGTTTCTCGAAGAGAAATTGTTATATTTTGTGTTAGAAAATTATTTCTCGTTTTTTAAATTCTGTAGAACCTTTTACCGATCGCTTACAATTCTCAACGTACTCTCGGGATTGAGGAACAAATAGCATCTTTTTCTTCAGGTCATAGAAGTTTGGGAAAAAGAAATTATAAAAAGGGACGAGAGGCATTACACTATTCATTTTGTTTTAAATCAATGAAGAGCTGTTATGTGTTTTACAATGTGTTTTTATAAAGTTTTTCCTTTTCTTAATTTTTTTCGGGTCGCAACGATGATTGGATGAACGATGATTGTTGAGTTCATCGTGCATATTTCGGATCAATCAACCGTAAATCCATTTTTCAGTGATACAAAATGATTCGTAATCTCGCATCTTAGGTCATATTACATGTTTCTACTCATCAAATTAATTGATAATATGCTGCATTACGACGGAGTGTATCCGTTTTTCTCATAACGTTTAATTTTAATCAACTTAAATCACTGTTATAATAAAATATAGAAATATGAAGATTGTTTCTTCATATCGTTCTTAGTATTTCAATATTTATTTTCAATGAAGTTTCTTCAAGTCTCTATTTTCCCTCTATATATTGTCAGGAGTGCTAATTGCACAGGAGTCAGGAGTGACAATTGCGCCATGAACGTGCAAGAAATACAAACGATTAAATAAATGATTGCCGGAACCGATTTATTAAATATACTCAAAGTTACTTTAAATAATTAATATAAAAGAAAAGACCCTGAGTGAATATAAATTGTAAACTTACGAAATGCGAATTCAGAAATTGCGCGGAAGCTGTCCTCGTCCGATACGCGGAATGTTCAAAGATGATCCGAAAAATATAGAATATATAAACGCGACCGCGGACAAATTTTCGTCGATCAGAAATTTGAAAGAAACTCATCGCGTTATTTTGTCTATCGTTTAAAAAAAAAAATTGTAACAGTATCTACCGCGACGTGGAAAATGCTAAGTGGAATTGTAAGATAACTACTGGTGTAAAGTTAAATATATTCTATTAGAAAACTACAAGGCTATCTAATCTCATCTCTCGAAGTTCTTTGTTGTGGATCTGCAAACTGTGCCGTGAAAAATCGGCACAACATATATATTCTTAATTTCCTTTCCTCTTAATTAATTTAGGTCTATTTTTTTGTTTAATTTCTGTTCGATTATATCATTTTTCTCAAATATATAATGCATTAGGTTGGTATTTCATATGTCGTACGACAAGATTTTTTTAAGCTTATTGATTGGCTGCAAGGTAGAGAATTTTTCGGATCTTTCTGTCTTGCAACCAATCAACAAATTTGAAATCGTTATTGCACGACACATATAAAATATTAATATATGATGCATCGTGGAGATAATTGTACTTTTATTGTTCGTTCTATTTACGACACACATAAAATATTAATATACGATGCATAGTGGAGATAATTGTACTTTTATTGTTCGTTCTATTTCTTAACATTTATCCTTAACAAGGCTTCACCAACGGTCTCAATTTATCTTTTATAGTTACATTTTAAAATGCCTTCTCCGAGGAAAATTTTATTCTTAAACTTTACTCTTATACAGTACACATAACGTATATCATATTATATCGAATAAAATTTTCCTCAAAGAAGACGTTTCGGTGTGATTAGTGATATTACCTATATATAATTCTTTCCTTTTGTTTTAAACAATTTCATAACTTTTATTGGATTATATTAATTGCAGACCCAACAAAATGGTAGACGTGTTATCGACACGTCTGCAGGAGATATATGCCAAATGGGAAACCAAGACGCAAGTAACGCGAAATGCGGAACCGACGAGTACACGATTTTCGCTGGATGGTAATTTTCTTTCATTTCGAAGCTATTCTTACGTAAGATTCTTACGTGTAGCGAGAATATACAATTATTATCAATCGATAGCTGTCATCGGCGTGTGACTCTAACTATTCTCTCACAGCGTATTGTTCTTTCTGCGAGTAGGTACAAAATGCATGTCCTAATTGCAAGACGAAAGATATTTATCGCAACCTCTCGAGTCGTAAATACCATAACTACCATACATTTAACGGATTTAAGAATATAATCATTGTATTCTCCGCCTTTATCTCGCCGAATCGGATTGGAATCAAAATTCATAGACCATTTATTATTCGTATCAACTTTACTTCACATCTTCAATTTGATTTGATAATCTGTGTGTCAATTCTTTTATTTTGAAATTGATTATTATGTCTGTTACTCTAAATTTTAGAAATATGAAACATTAGAATACATGAAATTCTCTGTCACTTTTCGCATAGACGAAGAATTTCTCTGGACATCCCATTTGCAATGAGATGCACTTCCAACAATTTGTTAAATGCGATGCAATTGCAGGTCTTCGACGAGCCGGCTTACAGTTACAACGAAGGAAGATTCAGGACCGGGAACAGTCGCGTAAGATACGAGAGAATTCATTGTACAGCATCAAGGAAACTGAACCGCTGATGCCTTTGATCAAACACAAGTCTTCATTCCTGCATTACTGTTGTAACACCTGTGTGCCCGCTTCCAAGGTGAGTTTTTGTTACTAGGACCACATCATGTCTATAATTTATCATCCTCGGCGAGATGCGTGGTTCTTTTCCGGACGGCCTTGCGTGTTTTTCACCAATCTAACCCATCGATGCGACCCAAGGAGTCTCATGCATGCATGCGATGTCACGCATGCATGAGACTCCTTGAATGGAGCTACCCAGCAACCGATTAACCCATTTAACTTATCGTTAATTACCGAACTTATCGTTAAATACCAGCAGTCTCGTTGCTCCGACTTTGCATCAGTTTCCGGTCCATTTTTCGTCGATAAAATTAATAGGCATAGTGTAGATATAATTTATAAGGAAATCCTACACTGAGCTATATTGATCATGATTTACAACAAAATTACTGAAGAAAAACGATAATTTATATTTATATTTATTAATTTTATTTAATTTATATTTATTTTTATTTATTTAAAATTTATGAAAAAAATAAATAAAATGTTTTTAAATTCTTGTCAAAATTTTAGCATCTCTATGGAAAAAACTTTTTTGCTTTATGGTGCTCAAAATATACATGATTTATTATGTTTTATTTTAAATCTAGAGAAATTTTGTTTAAAAACAAAGTAGAGAATTCAGTTTGCTTTGAAGATCAATTAGATATATTATGTTTATTTAATTAGAATTCAGTTTACACTTTCATGTGTGTGTTGGACCAGATATCTTATTATATGTTAGAATGCTTTTTAGAATCCAAAGTAGTAATTATTCTATATATGTGAGAGCCATTATATTCGTTACATTTAGATTCGTCAAAACAATACTCGTCGCGAGAGTTTTATCGTATTTATCGTTACAATTGCGAAATTTACGTATGAGAAATTGTCGCAAATTTTATCGATATTTCAGATTACGAAAAAGATTTCTGTATCGAATAACACACATAGGTCATCTACTAAAAATACATCCAACGAGATTGTCTGGTTGCTTCTCAGTTTCTTAACCACGCGAAATCGCAGATTTCGTGGACAAATCTTGTCTTGACGCATCTTCTCACATAACATTTTTATTCCGTTTTCTACAACAATCCGCATTAATCGCTAGTTGTGCCTGAGGAGTGTCTGCAAGACGTTTCATTTGCACATTTACACTTTTACACCTACAAGTATGATCTATTTTCGGTACATGATATGAGAGATCGGTGGAAGAGCATATGACGTGTGACAACGACGCAAATAAGTCGCCTAAGAACCATTAACTTTTAAAGATCCTATTGGTCCCGAAGTGAAAGATCCTATTGGCCTCTTAATGTGATCTTTTAGTTTTCGTGAAACGTAACTGTGCGTATGTGTAATTAATTATGTGTACAACGCAACGATTGATCATTCCGTAGAATTCTATTTTCAATAAACTGAAATTTATAATCAAGCGATGATGGTCTCATGATACACAGGGATACATATAGTTATTATGGCCTTATTACCTAATTAAAGAATATGTCCTCTGACATATGTTTAATTATGTAACGAAGCTTTGGTCGTCTTTCATCACTTGACCCTGTCCGGATAAGAACAATTATAGCACGTAGGCACGCATGCATCGACGCGTGCATAAATGTGAACTTCGTGTTAAGGTACTTAATCTTGAAGAGGAAAAATTCAATCAAAAGTGGATTCGAAGAAGGAAGAGAGGGAGATTCGTCTCCCACATATACTTCGATAAGCCACGTGTATGACTAAACAATTTAAATGACTTTGAATTTTTGCAATTATAATTTTCTAATAATTCGATAACAATTTTACGTAACTAAAAAACAAATTGAAAAAATATTTTTAATACAAAATTGTGTTTAGAGTGATGAAAAAGTGTCAGCATATGTTCATCATAGATAATGATTATTTGTTATCAAAGATCATCTAATAATCGTCGTTTAATAATAATAATAATATACAATTTGTATATTATTACACGTGATATATAGTAATAAACATGTATTTGATATTCTAATGATAAGAGCATGTGCGAGGAAACACGTGGATTCTTGTCACGATGGTGGCGTATTGTTATCATTCGCGGGTATCCAAAGAATGTGAGTTAATAGAAGTATACAAATATAATTTTATACGAAATTTTATAATGTTTATACGAAATGTTTAAAAATCTTTGCTAGAAAAATGAGTTGACTTTGTAATTGATTAAAAGCACGTTCAGTAATTTTAAAACACTTACATATATTTGACGTTTCTGAAAGAATAGAATATTAATTAGCTGCTTCTAGTATATGTTCTCATATATGCTCCTTATATATTTTTATTATGTATTTTTTGCTGTCTTTACGAAATCTGCATTGAAAAAAATTTTTTATTTTACTTCCGATTTTTTGTTCCAGGATACATTAGTAAAATCGATGCTCAAGCAGCAGCAACAACCATATGGTGTGAATATACTGACACAAAAACCAAATTCTCGAACGCTTTTTTCGAAAATATTTACTCATCTATATCTTGTATTAAGCTTCAAGAATCATGATTATCCAAGGGTTACAGAAACAGTAAGTTTTGCTCTCATATACTCTTATCGAATTTAGGCTAAATAAGTCTTCACTATTGTTAAACTTGTTCTCGATGTAGGTCCTGAATGATGAAAAATTAAAAGAGGCCATCAAATTAACTGCATTAGAAACAGCTAATCATGAGGGTTGCAACGAGGAGAAAGCGTTCGCAAAGGCGAAAGCCAGAGCCAGGAGCATACTTCTGCAAATGGAGAGCACTTGTAGCAATGCTTTTATTAAAGTAGCCACGTGGATGATGTACAAATTGTTGCCCTGTTTCATACAATCCATCGTCGTTATACCCTCTCAACTGGAGATACTGAAGCAAGCGAGTAATACTGGTTTGCCGCTTGTAATGCTGCCCCTACACCGCAGTCACTTAGATTACATAATGGTCGACTTCCAAATGATTGCGAATGGTATAAGGGGTCCATTGATCGCGGCGGGGGATAATTTGAGGATGCCATTTTTCGGGTAAGCTTAGAATTTATAAAATTTATTCTAAGTTTTAAAATCTTATTCAGTAACATTTATGAGGATATATTTACAATACGTTCAATATCAATTGACAGATGGCTTCTGAAAAATCTGGGCGCTTTCTACATCAAACGTCGTATCGATCCAGTAACAGGACGCAAGGATTTTCTTTATCGCGCAACTCTTCAAACGTACATCATGGAGAATCTTCGTGCTGGACACAATATGGAATGTTTCATAGAAGGTGGCCGCACAAGAACCGGTAAACCTTGCATGCCAAAGAGTGGTATTCTGAGCGTCATCGTCGACGCATACATGGATGGCACCATTGAGGATGCGTTTCTAGTACCTGTAGCGATTAATTACGAACGACTGGTAGACGGAAATTTTGTTAGAGAACAATTAGGACAACCAAAGAAAATGGAGACTTTCACATCGACGATTAAAGCTATATGGTCAACATTAAGGGGCCGTTATGGCATCGTCAAAATCGATTTCTGTCAACCATTTTCCCTCAGGGTAAGAAAGAAAGAAAGATAATTTTTCTCAAATCAAATTGATTCGCATCGATAAATTGATACTTTTAATGTGGAGAGATGATTTCCAACAGGAAATGGTAAAGGCTTTTCAAGCTCAGCAAAATAAATTGGCTTTAAAAACTTCAGAAGGATATTTAAAATATACTATGTCGAATTCATCTCTTTACGGTACAGATGTAGTTGTGGAGGAACATCGACAAATGGTAGATAGTATCGCTAGGCACATTGTGTATGGTGAGTCAAGATTATTAGTATGTATTATGAAATAAATATATTTTATTGATATAGAAATATTTCTATCGATTGTGAAATGATGTCTTTATTATAATTTTTCAAGAGATGAATTTGAATTCATCATCGTCTAATTATTTTTAGATTCGTCAACATCTATGCCGATTATGTCAACGAATGTTGTTGCATTTTTATTATTAAATAAGTTCAGAGATGGTTGTACGTTAGACAAACTGGTCGAAGCGTTTGATTCGATAAGACAAGAGTTGGAATTTAGTGAAAAGAATATAGCGTTTTGCGGGGAGAGTGTTGATATCATTAATCATGCGGTTGGTAGACGACAAATAAAATGATCTGGTTATGAAAAAAGAACTAGAAATTTATTAATCTTTGAATTTGTAGCTGGATATCTTAGGACCCGGCCTGGTGATGCAACAGCGACAAGAAATTACCGAAGCCATTGAAGGCAATCAATCTTATAAATCAAACGTCATCATAGCAATCCGTCCCATATCAATTCTACCAAATGTGATAGAATTATCATACTATAGCAACACTATGCTGCTATATTATATTATGGACAGTATAGTAGGTAAGACACATGAAGAGATCGACGAGCAGCTTAATCTTTCTGCATTCTGAATTTTTTTACATAAATAAAATTTTACCTCAATATTTTCGAAATAAAAAAAGGTATTTCTCTTTTTGTTAAATTATATTTTTTAAACAAATTTTTTTTTAATTTTGTGTTCAAATTTTAATTTTTATTAAATATTGTAGAAGTTTGACATAAAAAAATCTAAATTGTAGATGAAGGGAGTAAAAATATGATTGCAGATAGAGGGTTAATTTAAAGGTAACGTTGTTATATTTTCAGTAACAGCTTTGTATGCTGAATTGCAGTCTCAGATCAACGATCCAATCGCGATCGCTGAAAACAATATTACAGTGTTGCAAAACAGTCTGCTCGAGCGGGCGCTCAAGTTATGCGACATTCTTAGGTATGAGTTTATTTTCTGTAGGCCCTGCCAAGAATTGAGAGACGTAATTCTTGAAACAATACAGAATATCTCGCACAAAGGCATTATTACCCAGAAAGAGGTATGTTTGTTTTTTTACATAGTAAATAATTTATTTAAATTATATATAGTAATAAAAAAAATAATTGACAGGAAGTTTATCTAGAGAATGAACTTTGGAGCAAAAGATATGCTCAAAATTTTGATGACAGTTCAGACGAAGAATACTCGAGAGAACGGGAAATCCGGAAGATTGAATATAAAGTAAATTATTTTTCTTAGATTTTTCTCGCTATTAATAATACCCATGTATCAATTTTTAAATTATTATATAAATATTATTTAATATATTTATTAATCTTA